AGCTAGCTCCTGTGTTCACTGAGATATTCAACATCTCTTTATCTCAGTCGGTGATCCCCACATGCTTCAAAGAGTCCATCATTGTTCCTGTCCCGAAGAAACCCCACCCTGCTTCTCTCAATGACTATCGCCCTGTAGCCCTCACCTCAGTAGTGATGAAGTGCTTTGAACGCCTGGTCAGAGACTTCATCATTTCTTCACTACCAGACACACTGGACCCACTACAGTTCGCTTACCGTCCAAATCGTTCCACAGACGATGCCATCTCTCATCTCCTCCACACATCACTCACTCACTTGGACACTAGAAGGAGGAATTATGTTAAAATGCTCTTCATAGACTACAGCTCTGCATTTAACACCATAATTCCCTCCACACTCACCACCAAGCTGGAGCATCTGGGACTCAGCTCATCTATGTGTCAGTGGATCTCCAACTTCCTAACTGGCAGACCACAGGCAGTAAGGATGGGCGGACATGTCTCAGCCTCCACCACTCTCAGCACTGGAGCCCCCCAGGGGTGTGTTCTGAGCCCCCTGCTGTACTCTTTGTACACATATGACTGTGTGGCCACTACCAGCTCCACCACCATCATCAAGTTTGCTGACGACACCGTCGTGGTGGGCCTGATCTCTGATAACAACGAGACGGCCTACCTGAAGGAGATTAGGAATCTGGAGAACTGGTGCCAGAGGAACAACCTCCTTCTAAACGTCAGTGTTACGTCCCCCCCACCATGGCGGAGGCAAAGGTAGGAAGGAGACAGCAACACTGGACAACCACAATCAATGAAGGAGGAAGACCACAGAACAGTTAAGTATCAGGCAGGATTTATTGGGTGCTTGCCTGGATAGTCAAATTTAACAACAGTAAAGAGGTGGGGGAGGAGGACTGGGCGGTTGATCCAAATCAAAGAAAGTAATAAAACAAAAAGAGGTCAGTAGCTTCCAGGGCCTAGCCTAACTGAAAGAAAAATGCAAAACAAAAGGCCTACCTAGCTACACGATAAAAGTCAGTGAAAACATACAAGGGTGGCATCAACCGCATAACCTAGTGTGACTAACAGAGTAAAATCTACAACCAGTGTATAGGGTACCCCGGCTTACCTGTCCAGCCTCCCACCACACACAACATAAAGATGCCTGTTCGCAAATGTTTGTCAAAGCAGAAGCCAGCAGCCACCAGCTGGCCAGGGAGCGGCTCATTTGTAGTGTTCCTTGGAGTGTGATTGGCCAACTGAGCCCAGTCCAGCCAATAGACACCTGCCAATCAACTTCGAACTGGCCAATCAGAGGAGGCCTGACGCCTGAAAGATGAATAGAACACAAAACAGAGTACAAAAGCAAAGCCACACCCCTTGGCACGTAACAGTCAGTAAGACAAAGGAGCTGATAGTGGACTTCAGCACTAAGCAGGAGAGGAACTACCAGACCCCCGTCATCAACGAGTGCTCAGTGGAGAGAGTGGACAGCTTCAAATACCTCGGAGTTCACATCACGCAGGACCTGTCATGGTCCTGTCACATCAACACCGTGGTGAAAAAGGCCCGACAGCGTCTCTACCACCTCAGACGCTTGAGAGACTTCCAACTGCCCTCCAAGGTGCTCAGGAACTTTTACTCGTGCACCATAGAGAGCATCCTGACGGGAAACATCTCAACCTGGTTCGGGAACAGCACCATGCAGGACAGACGAGCTCTACAGAGGGTTGTGCGGTCAGCTGAGCGCACCATCCGCTCCGAGCTCCCTGACCTGCACTCAATCTACAGCAGGCGGTGCTGGACCAAGGCCAGGAAGATTATGAAGGACCTCAGCCATCCCAACAACAGACTGTTCTCTCTGTTGAGGTCAGGAAAGCGATTCCGCTCCCTGAAGACCAACACAGAGAGACTGAGGAGGAGCTTCTTCCCGCAGGCGATACGGTCTCTCAATCACACCACCACACAGTACTGACCCACACATATGGTTCTTACACACACACTGGACTTTCTGGACATTGTTTTTGCACAACACTGGTCACTATATTCTTCATTTCCGGTTAATACTTGTACAGCTGCTGTTATTGTGTATATATTTATTTATATTTAGATTTCTTCATACATTCTTATATAGTTCTATATTGTGTATTTTGTTGTACAGTTATTTTATTTTCAACTTTAATTTATATATTTTATCCTATTCTCCCAGTTAAATTTACCCTTCATTCTAATTTGTGTTGTACAGTTATTTCATTTTTAACCTTAATTTATATTTTATTCCTTCCTAGTTAAATTTACCCTTTTTAATTTTTCATATTTATTTCCTATCTTATTCATAGCCTTTTCCTTTTTTGTTTTCTTTAGGTCACGAGTAGTTGTCCAAGCATTTCACTACATATCGTACTGTGTATGACTGTGTACGTGACAAATAAAATTTGAATTTGAATTTGAATTTGGTCCGGCCGGGTCAAGTCAAACGATGATTTTAATGATCACACACGTGGGAGATGGACACCGTATGCAGACAGCCTCAGATCTCAAAATGGTGGAGCATTGCTCAAACTCTTATAGCCTCTGGTTCTCCCACCTTATCATAAAAGCCTAAACATTCACATGCTTTTCTCTCACACGGCGCCTAAGCTACGACCTTGGCTCCCCGTTTATCTGCTCCTGCTGAGATGGGGCAGAAAACTCCAGTATGCTCTGTTCTCTTCTAATCAGACAAATAAGGCGATGACTTTCTGCAAACAGTATTTCTTATAACTCAGCAGTATAATGCATCATAAAACAATATCATTCATCCACAATAAATCAGCAGTCTAATGTAATGCAAATCAGTTTAACGAATGCAATAGTTATCAGCTTCTTCTAATTCAGGAGAATAATGCAAACTAAAACTACATAATAATTCACAATCTTTAGTTAGGGGTATAACATGGCATAAAATAATATTATAATCTAACAATATGTAAAGCGCTTTGGGGTCCTTAGGGACTAGTAAAGCGCTATATAAATACAGGCCATTTACCATTTCAGAGAAGCTATAATTGTACTATGTCACACCCTGAAAACAGATTGAAAAGCAGGAGCAGGCCAAGTTAGCAGAGCAGGCTCAGTCAGAGGAGCAATCTTAGCAGAAGAGGGTTAGCTGGAGGAGCAAGCTGGATTAGCAGAGCAGGCCTGGCTGGAGATGCAGGCTCGGCCAAAAGAGAAGGCAAGCAGAGCAGGCCAGGTTTAGTTGATTGTAGTAAAAAAAGGTTCAGATAACTCCAGCTTACTAAGACCAATGTCTGAATCTGTGATATAATCACATTAAAACATACATGGCTTGGAGAGAAACTCATGCACACTCACTGACACTGCCATCTTGGGGCCAAACTGGCTGTCTCTAGGCAGGGGGGGAGATAAGTGCAAAGGGAACAACAAAGAAACAAACAAAACAAAACAAATACATGCAGGGGCCCGGAGTGACAAAATGAATTAATTAAATACATCATTCGCAGATGCCAACAGATTAAACCCCTCTGACACCGCTGTTGATCAACAATTTGCAGTATCTCATTCTTTCCATGTTCTGTGCAATATTTTTGGCTCATGTGCAACATCTTTGGTATGAGCAATATTTTGGTCTCAGTGGAATTACCATCCCCACGCTAAATGATAGCCCCTCCACCCTTATTTATTTATTATATTATATTATATACCTGCCCTTGTTTACATCCGCATGATATTTCTGTTTCAATGTTTCTACGCATACACCATGATATAGTTCACTCACATATATGGGTGCATATATATTGCCGTTTATTTTTTTTCCCTCGTTGCATATTGTTTTCTTTTCTTTACTTGTGCGCCTTTGTGGTCCAGCTACCCAATTTGCTGTGCAAGAAACCGCACAATGACAATAAAAGCTCTAAGTCTAAGTGTAAATAAACTGATTTACCAGGCCAGTAATGTTGTGGGGATGGAGCTGGACTCCCTTAGGGTGGTGTCTGACAGGCGAATGTTGTCCAAACTAAAGAGTGCTGGATAATACCTCCCACCCACTCCATGACGTGCTGGTCAGTCACAGGAGCACACTTAATCAGACTGAGATAACCAAAAAGCACCACTGAATGGCACAGGAAGTGGCCATCCCCCTGTACAACTCCTCCTCTAACACGCTGTAAACACTACAATAGTTGCAGTCTTTTGCGCACACTCTTTACTAATCTGTAATTTTCTTTGTCAGTATTCTTGATATTTATTTATAATCACCTCTGTCCATTCTTGATATTTATAATTGAGTGATCTGTATATATTAGAGCTATTTCTCAGTATTCTGATTCTGATTAAATAATTAATGAAACATTTAATGAATTAATTAATGGCCAATTTAATTCATTCATTCAAGTCACTCCTGTCCCTCCATAATAACAGAGGCATGAATGTGTTTTTTGCACTGTTACACCCCGGCCTAGGCAACCGGCGTGCAACGTATGAAAATAAAAATAAGAAAAAGACACACGAGAAAAAAACTAAAGCTCTCCACCAAAATCCCAAAACGAAGGTGTCTCAAACGAAAATATTAACAAACCCATTCACAGCTATTTACAACAGACTATTTATTTACAACAAAACACCAAACTATTTACAACACGGGGAGATCGCGACCATGACCAACTGACACACAGGGCTTAAATACATAGAAGGAGCAATCAGGGAATGGACCACAGGAGGGAAACACAGCTGGGGCAAATTAGACCTGACGAGACAAGGAAACGTAAACTGAACACACTAAGATAACAACAGACCTTCAAAATAAAACAGGAAACACATGACAGTCACGCAAAAACAAAACACTGACAACACCGAAACGTAACAGCACGTTATCTCAGTTTGATCCCGTCTATGTAACGGATCTGGGCCCTACAGCTTTAAGCAGCTGCGCGCTCCCGCGGACGGCAATCACTTTCTGGCACAACACCTGAACTATCGCGAGACTCAGCGATCCTTACTGGATTGAATGGAGAATGACGCGACTATTCATTCAACGAGCCCTGGTTTGGCTTTAGGTGTACACGTTGCTAGGCAACACTGCGACCAACTCCAACAGAAACAAAGGCTTCGTTTTCCGCCACTGACTGAGGGAAGTCACAGCGATGGCAGCTGAACACATCACGGGGCTGAAGCGGAAAATCAGACTGCTCGGTAAGTTTGTTCGGCGGGTTTCAGCTCAGCTGGAGGCAGCCGGTGCACCTTAGCGGCTTGTTCCGCTCTTCGTGTTCCAGGTGTTGCATTTTCTGCAGTTAATCACAGATTTGAGCGATGAAAGAGCTCACGGATAAAGACGCTTGCTGTCTCCAGTTCGTGTCGATTACGACAAAGTTTCGACACTTGCAGCTGATCAGTGTCTTTAAATGAGCTGCAGAGAATGAATAAAACGACTTGTCTTCTAAAATTCTCAGTGCCCTAAACTGTGATTGATATTTTCAGCTGTAAAATAAATAATAGAATAGAATAGAATAATCCTTTAATTGTCCCACAAGGGGAAATTTGGTTGTAACAGCAGCCAAAAAGACAAATATACAAACAAACAGTACACAGGACAGAAACATACACAATTTTTCTTACATATTTACATTAAGGACAATGGTTACTATAAACAGAGAGTACTGTACAGTTATTAAATAAAATAAAATTTAAACAACAATGTTATTGTTTGTATAGTCTCCAAAACACCTGGGACTGATTACTGAAGATAATGATTTGTTTTACACATGAGCCATAGCTTGATTCTCGTGACAATCAGATCTGTATTATGGAGGTTCTACTTCCATCCTGAATGATCGCTACTCCTCATCTGAAATCCCCTCTAATGAATGTAAATCATACAGTCGCTGTGAGGTAAACACAAGCAACAGTGGTCTGTCTGTCTGAGGAAGGTGTACTTTAATTTTATATAAAACAGTGCAACCTTATTTTGGTTATATCGAGCAACAGCTGTGACCATCTGACAGGTACACTCAGGGTCCTGCTGAGTTCCATCTTTCTTTCATCAGAAGAAAAAACGATGGCACAGAAAAGCACAGGTAGGCATCCAGCTTGAGGATATTTCATTTTAACTTTATGAAGCATTTTACAATCAGCATGATTTACGCAGTTATCTCACACAGCTCTTTCATTACTCACATCTGTGATAAACTGCAGAAAGTGCAACACCTAGAACACAAAGAGTCGAGACGAAGCAGCTTAGTGAAAAACAGCAAACTGCCATTTAGGTTCTTAAATGAACTTTAACACTTATAATTGACTTAGAGCCGATAAATTCAGCAGGTGACTGTGGGTCACCTGTTTCTCTGTATTATTGTGGTGGTGATGAAACGTGTCCATAGAGGTGGAGAGAAAAGCGTGCTATGACAGACATGAAGCTGCCATCATGAAGAACCAGGAGCTGATCCATCAGCTGAGGGAGGACAACAGGAGGCTGCACAGGAAGCTGGCGGGAGCTCATGCTGTAAGATGGTCACAACACAAGCTAAAGATGTTTGAATGCTGATCTGAACTTTATTTAATTTAAAATAAAGAAGATAATAGTGCAGTCACACACAGACTGAGAAACCTGGCCTACCTAGCTGGAAGCCATTTATGGTCCTTATGAAGCTGGAGACAACAATCCTCCTTCTTTTCCTCTTTTTTAACCACGTTTATCTCACGCAAAAAATGTGTTTTAGAATTCATTTTTGGTGACACTGGTGTCTGCCTCTTAGCGTGATGAGCAGGTGATCAGAGCGGCCTTTCAAAACAGAGCAAGGGAGAGGGAATCCTACCGCAACAAGTCTGTGAAGGTGAGAGGAAGCCTGTGCACGCACCCTGAACTCCGATTTTACTTGAAATGCAGTACTGTGAAGAAATAAGTCCGCCAGTGACTGAGCAGCAATAAGCTGCAGCATTGTTTTTCTGACTTTATCAATCTGTCACATCACTGTGGGGCAATTTTGGTCCACTCTTCTTGACAGCACTAATTCAGATTCGACTTCATTAATCCCCAAAAGAGCTTTTTGCTTGCAGCTTACACATAACACACAGTCTTTAAACCAGCTTTGATGCACAGTAAAGCTGAGATCAAGAAAAATAACATAAGGATGAAATAAATAAATAGAATAACAAGGAGAAATGTATAAGAATAAACATTCAAATTCAAATTTTATTTGTCACGTACACAGTCATACACAGTACGATATGTAGTGAAATGCTTGGACAACTGCTCGTGACCTAAAGAAAACAAAAAAGGAAAAGGCTATGAATAAGATAGGAAATAAATATGAAAAATTTAAAAGGGTAAATTTAACTAGGAAGGAATAAAATATAAATTAAGGTTAAAAATGAAATAACTGTACAACACAAATTAGAATGAAGGGTAAATTTAACTGGGAAGAATAAGATAAAGATAAATATATAAATTAAAGTTGAAAATAAAATAACTGTACAACAAAATACACAATATAGAACTATATAAGAATGTATGAGAAATATAAATAAATATATACACAATAACAGCAGCTGTGCAAGTATTAACTGGAAATGAAGAAATATTTTCACAGAAATTCACAGAAATATTCATCATCTGTCAGCAGTAAGTAATCTAAGAGCTGAGAAACGAGGATTTTAGGTTTCTGAATTTTAATGAAGGACTTTAAGTTTAGTTTATTCTACACTGGGCCGGGTCCAAGGTCACGGCGACCAACTTATTAACAACACTGCCGAGCGAGTTTCTATCCTTGATACATACTGAGCCAGCAGATAAAAGAAAATCTTCAAAGACTTTCAATAAATGAACAATAAAAATGCCATAAAACGTCCCCACTAACACATTCTCTGTTGATCCTGTTTTATGATGGAGATATTTGACAAAGGCTGTGCCGAGATATTTATAAGACTGCACTATTTCACAAATAACACTGGCTTTATACTCGGGGTTACGCGTCTGAAATCAATGATCATTTCTTTTGTTTTTGACACACATTTAGCTCCAGATAGTTATCATCACACTACTTCACAAATTCAGGCGAAACAGGGCCGTGGACAGACTCAGAGGACAGTGATATCAGGCAATTATAAATCTGTCCTCAGAAGAAGTCCTGCAGCTGTCGGCATACATAATAACGAGAACACATCCCTGAGGGGAACCAGAGCATGACACAGTCCTGCCGGACATTTGTTAATGAGGACTTGTCGACTCGTCAGTAGGAAGTTTAAAGTCAGCATCAGGAGCTGTTCTGGGAGTTTGGAACGTGAGGCTGCTTCTTATTAAAAGCAGAGAGGTCAGCAAACAGAAGTCTAACGTGAGGACTGGATTTTTTGAGGTGCTCTTAGACAGACTTTAATATAAAGGGTTTAGCATCATCAAAGCATTCACTCTGCTGATGAACAAATTACGAAGGATCAAGTTTACCATTAATGGGGGATCAAATAACACTTTAAAGATCTTTTCCAAGGTTTTAATTACCAGAGTCATGTAAGCGCAACGTGAAATCATTTGAAGTTTTAGTTGTAGGGATAGGTACTGCGGTTTGCACCATTCATTTCTGCACACCTCTCTGAGCTCTGCAGCACCTTGATTCTTTGGTTTTCCAGTCGTTCTATTGGAAATGGTGCTCATCCCGATCAAACTGGGTCATCAACATTATCGCGTTGATAACCCAGTTTGGTCCAAGCTTTAGCTGTGGGACAGATGGCCTCACACTGACTCTGGAATACTTGGGTATGTAGAGGTGTCCACGGTCCACTCAGTGACTCGTAGGTCCCTAAATCATCAGTCCTCCACGGCCCTTAACCTTTAACATGCTCACTAAGGTGTGCAGACTATCTGCTAAAGCTGTTTTGGGTTTGTCACGTCCAGCTGCGTGGCACACAAGATTTGGACCCAAATGCAGGACAGGAAAGGAAATAAACTCAAAATACAAAACAAAGGCTGGCCAGGAACAAGGGTCCAAAACTAAAGAGCCAACAGTTAGAAGACATGCAACCATGAGAGAGGACACAACAAAGAACTGAGACAAACTGAAGGAACAAATAGGCATGCCAGGGAGGGCAGCTAAACCTAAGTGAGAAAACAAGACAAGGAATGTAAAACTAAATACAGAGCACAAAAGACAAAAAACCCAACAAGGTAAAACAAGTAACAGATCTCAGGAAATAAACAGACTTGACACAGAGAGTGCAGGAGGCAGGAAAACAAACTCAGGGAATTACAAAGGACAGAATCAGGGCTGAGAATAAAAGAGAAAATGAGCTAGAATACCAAACTGAAAAAGGCAAGAAAAAAAGAGCAAACTAACCTTCCTGTCGTGATCGGGTCAAATCGCCCCGATTTACGACTTAAAACACTCATAAATATTGTGTTTTACATGTGATTGCCTCCAGGCCTTATGACATCCTCCACACTATGCACTTGAACATCTAAACGTGATGAGCACTTCTTTCAGTGAATTTTGAGTGTTTTAATCAACCTTGAATCTGTGCAGTTCCCGGTAAAAAGTGACCACCATAGGAATTTCACCTGAATTTTGGTGAAAAATGTTTGTTATTCTAATTTAAGAGCTGATAAAACAGACTGGGAGGGGGTGCACAAAACTGGAGTGCTAAGCAGAAAGACACACAGGTGAAAATCCAAACCAAAGGCTAACAAACTGAAGATATCTAACAATGACAGCAATAATAAGCAAAAAACTACAAAAGGAAAAAGACTGACTGAGAAAAAGGATCATGAAGGGCTTTTGCAGTTTCTCTGAGCTTGTTGTGAGTTCACTGGAACGTCCTCTTCTGTGAAGATTGTGTTAACATACCTGAATTCTGTAGACCTGCTCACACCGATGATGATCAATCAATTAAGGGTGTTCTTAGTTCTTCATGGGACTGCACACTAAATCTGTTGTCATGGTCCGCATGCATGACTGCACTGCATTCCTCCTCTGCATGTCTCACAGGAGATCATTGGAACACTAGACGACTGCGTGCTATCCAACAGGAAGCGTCTTAATGCCCTAAAACATGGCACTGAGATCTATGAGAGGCGCCGTGAAGAGCTGAAGATGGAGTACCGGAGAATGAAACCAGAGCACAGTGTAGCGCCCCCTGGTGTTCGCACTTTGAAAAAGAGGAGAATGCCATGGTAGTTACCTCTCTGATTCAAAAACAAAAAAGTGTCATTGCCTCTGAGTTTCTTTTTATATGGTTCTCATTTGTTATAAGATGTGCAGGTCAAAGGTCACAATGAGCAATGATTCGTGTTTGTCTTCAGAACTTGCGGGTCCTGGAGAACAGTCTGGAAAAAAGCCAGTTTAAGTGCAAGGAGGCCGAGAACATCATGATTGACTACCTGAAATTAAAGAGTCACTTACAGGTCAGTCCAGCGTTCCTCGTAAAACGCAAGACTTTGTCGGCACCGTCTCCTGTAACGGTTTGTGTTATATACACTGAACAAAAATATAAACGCAACACTTTTGTTTTTGCTCCCATTCCCCATGGGATGGACGTAGAGACCTAAAATTCATTCCAGATACACAATATAACCATCCCTCCCAAACAGTGGTCACAAATCAGTCCAAATGTGTGGTAGTGGGCACATCTGCTATATTGAGATAATCCATCCCACCTCACAGGTGTGCCACATCAGGATGCTGATCTGACATCATGAGTAGTGCACAGGTGTACCTCAGATTGCCCACAACAAAAGGCCACCCTGGAATGTGCAGTTTTGTCTCACAGCAAAATGCCACAGATGCCACAAGCAATGAGGGAGCGTGCAATTGGCATGCTGACAGCAGGAATGTCAACCAGATCTGTCGCCCGTGCATTGAATGTTCATTTCTCAACCATAAGCCGTCTCCACAGGCGTTTCCGAGAATATGGCAGCACATCCAACCGGCCTCACAACCGCAGACCTCGTGTAACCACACCAGCCCAGGACCTCCACATCCAGCAGGTTCACCTCCAAGATCGTCTGAGACCAGCCACCCAGACAGCTGCTGGAACAATTGGTTTGCACAACCAAACAATTTCTGCACAAACTGTCAGAAACCGTCTCAGGGACGCTCAACTGCATGCCCGTCGTCCTCATCGGGGTCTTGACCTGACTCCAGCTCGTCGCCGTAACAGACTTGTGTGGGCAAATGCTCACATTCGATGGCGTCTGGCACGTTGGAGAGGTGTGCGCTTCACGGATGAATCATGGTTCACATTGTTCAGGGCAGATGGCAGCTGAGAATGTCCCAGTTCTTGCATGGCCAGCATACTCACCGGACATGTCACCCATTGAGCATGTTCGGGATGTGCTTGACCGGCGTATACGACAGCGTGTACCAGTTCCCACGAATATCCAACAACCTCGCACAGCCATTGAAGTGGAGTGACAATCTGATAGACTCCATGCGACGATGTGTTGCACTGCATGAGGCAAATGGTGGTCACACCAGATACTGACCGGTTCTGGGTCCCCAGACCCCCAATAGCGCAAAAAACTGCACATTCCAGGGTGGCCTTTTGTTGTGGGCAGTCTGAGGTACACCTGTGCACTACTCATGATGTCAGATCAGCATCCTGATGTGGCACACCTGTGAGGTGGGATGGATTATCTCAATATAGCAGATGTGCCCACTACCACACATTTGGACTGATTTGTGACCACTGTTTGGGAGGGATGGTTATATTGTGTATCTGGAATGAATTTTAGGTCTCTACGTCCATCCCATGGGGAATGGGAGCAAAAACAAAAGTGTTGCGTTTATATTTTTGTTCAGTGTACTTTTGAAACACTCACTGCAAAGCTGGTCTCTGAAAATGGTTATTTTGGTCTTTGCTCTCAGCATTAATTCTGTTTTAGGCGTTAGCAGACACCTGCATAATACAATGATCAGCGTTGCTGCTTTATAAGGTTTAAATTAAGTTTAACATCCAGGCATCCATGAAAACAGGATTTATTACATTTAACGGAGTTAGACGTTAGCAGGAAGTTAGCTCGGTAGTTTCCACCTAAACATGATATAGCATGTTCTGACTGAGAGATTTCTAAAAAAAATTCAAACGTACAGCTCTGCTTGTTAAGTCAAAAGACATGACGTCGTGGTCTCACTCCAAGCGCTTTATTCGTTACTCCATGTTTTACTGCTCACACACAATAACAACAACTCACCGTGGGCCGTGATATAACAGAAAATAACAAGTTAACAATCTCCCTCTTTCTTTTTTTAAAAATAAAAATATAAACACCCCTTTTAAACATTTGTATACATATATGTGTGAGTAAACAAAACAAAAAAAAAACTTGTCAACTTTGTTGAACATCCAGGAAACTGTCAGGGTCCTGGGTCATTTTGACCCAGCGTTTTGTGTTTCCTTGAAGTTCATTTTTGTGCCTTGTGTTTATTCTGATTTTGTACTAGTTTAGGGTTCAACCTGAAGTTTGGTGTATATTCAGCCCTACCTGTGTCTGTCCTTGGTGCTCTGTTCATGTCCCCGTGTTGTGTTGTAAATCAGTCTGTGTGTTTCCTGCTTTACTTTGAAGGCTCGTGTTCTGGATTTCCTGTTCTATTCTGAAGGTCTGTGTCTTTTGTCATTGTGTTCAGCTTGTGTCCTCCAGTCATCATGTGTATCCAGATCAGCTGTTCTTCCCTCCTGTGTGCGATTACCCGATTACCGTGTGTGTGTGTGTGTGTGTGTGTGTGTGTGTGTGTGTGTGTGTGTGTGTGTATAGTGGGTGTCGGTCTGTGTTCGTTGTCGGCTCATCTGCGTTCTATGGTGTTCCGTTCCTGTCTCTGCATCTCTCTGCCCCACACCCCTTTTGTATGCTCTCAGGTTTGTCATTTAGTTCTCCTAGTTTAGGTTTCTTCAGTTGTTTTCTCATGATTCGTTGTCTGTTCTGCCACTGTCACCTGTAAATAAACCCTCACTCATATCATCAGTCGGCTGCCTGCATTTTGGGTCCTCCTTTTCCTCCAACACTACACGGCTCACCCTGCCAGCCGTGACAGAAACACTTCAATGTGCTTTGCTTTGCTTAAAGCATACTATCACTGCACACAATAAACAATAGTGCATTTTAATGCAAAGAAAACTCCACAGTATCCAGAGTCCTTCATCTCATGCTTTTAGAAGGGTTAAAGGTGAAACTCCCTTTTTTGTCAGACAATCAGCAAGTTGGGATTTGGAATCTGACCAACAAACCTGTCTGATTTTCTTGGCTTGTATGAGCTTTTTAATGCTACTCATTTCTAGCCTCAGTCTCTTCTCTGTAACCTGCTTAGCGGACTTGAGTGCATCAAACAAGGAATGATTGTCAGTCACACAGATCAAAGGAAGAGCGTTCAGACCAGTGTTACCAGTTGTAAGCTCTGAAAAAAGTGTTGCCAGGAATACCGCAGTGTCTATTCCATCTGACATGGCAAGAGTTTCTCCTGCCAGTGTACTTCTGACCACACGCCTGATTTTCTTAGGCTGCCAAAAGAGAGGACAAAACTTTCCTCCTTTACCCATAAGGACGATTAATGTCCCTCCTTGAGTACCACCATCAGGAAGGTTACCAAAAGAAGCGTCACTGAAAACAACCAGTGCCAAATCCTCACTGTTAGCCAAGCTCTGAAACTTAAGAGTCACTTTCTCTGCCTTAAGTTTACAGATAACTTTGTTCACTTCATGAATGGACTGCACAGTTGCACCTTTGATATTAGATCCAAGGCTGCATGTGTCAAACATCACATCTGGCCTCGTTTGTTTGGCAACCCACAAAATCTGTCCTATTTTTGACCTGAGTTGCTCCCGTTCTGTTTCACTTAAGGAAGCATCCCTCTGTACAGCCCATGCTGCTTGTAACTGAACCGGCTGTAGGTTATCAATGTAAAGTTGTTGATGTGCCTCTATTACATCATTAACTGTACAAATGTCCATACCCTCTTGAGCCTCTCTGTCCTTGCCCGGATGATGCGGAACCTTCTACCCGATTGCAGAAGTTGGAACAGTTTGTTTACAGGATGGGACGGGTGCTTCAATATCTGCGCTGCTCTTGTCCGGCATCTCCTGGTGTAGGTGTCCTGAAGCAGGGGGAGAGCAATCCTGCAGCAGTGTTCTGCTGTATGGATCACTCTCTGGAGAGCTTTTTGGTCCTCAACACAGCTGTTCCCAAACCAGGATGTGATGTTCTGTGTAAGGATTCTCTCCACAGCGCCTGCTAGAAAGTCCTGAGGATCTCAGGAGAGACCCTGAACTTCCTCAGTTGTCGTAGGTGGTACAGGCGCTGCCTAGCCTTTTGCTCCATTGATGATAATGGGCTTGTAGTCTTTGTGCTGACTCCTTCTGAAGTCCACCACCAGCTCCTTGGTCTCGCCAACGTTCAGCTGGAGGTGGTTATCATGGCACCGTGATGCCAGATTCTTCACTTCAGCCATGTAGGCCGCCTCATCGTTGTTGGAGATGGCGCTCAACACCACTGTGTCGTCAGCGAACTTCACAATGGTGTTGGAGCCATGGGTGGCCACACAGTCTGAAGTGTAGAGGGAGTAGAGCAGTGGCGAGAGGACACACCCCTGTGGTGCTCCTGTGTTGATGGTGATGCTTCTAGAGACGCATCTACCCATCCTCACCACCTGAGTTCTGCCAGTGAGGAAGTCCAACACCCATGCACACAGACGGCTGTTGAGTCCCAGTTCATTCTGCGCGATCAACCTGTGATATTTTACCACCAGTTTTGACCATAATGTCTTTGACCTTATTGTACCAATAAAGTGAAGCATCTGCAAGTCCATACACACACTTTTTTAGTTTCCATAGAACATTGTCCTTGCCAGCTTCAGGTGGGGGATGAAGATAATGTCTCTTGACAGTTCCATTCCCTGCAAAAAGGCAGATGTAATGTCCATTTAATTCATTTTCCACTTGTTTTGATATATCACAGCTAGCACCAGTCTGAGGGACTCAGATGCACATGTTGGAGAGTCTTTCAAACCCGCAACAAGTCGGGCCTTTGGGACGATACCATTATTAGTTTCTTTGAGTGTACAGAACCGTCTAGTAGACACACATTTTTGACCCAGGTCTTTCACTTCATCAAACACGCCATTACTTTGCCAGTTCTCAATCTCCTTTTTGGCAGCATCAAAGGAGATATCTTTTGTTATTAGTACATCTACATCTCTGTTTTCAGCTTCAGTGCAAAGACCATCAACAAGTGACATGTCTAAAGCTTTCTTTTCACCTTCACTACCATCAGGCTTAAGATATTGCACATTGTACCAGTTTTTGTATTGCCCTTTTGCTTTTCCCGGTCTGCCTAGCACTCTGGCTGTATGTTGAACACCGTTGTCTCTGTTCGTAAAAGTGATCAGCTGTCCTGCCCTTAACTTTACATCTGCA